AAAATAGAAGAAAAGACACAAGAGAGAAGAATGGGGAGAGGAGAGGGACGTGGCCGATCTGAAGACACTGACAACGGCCGACGGCGACACCCTATCATACTCTTTTTACGCATTTCCATTTCTCTTTTTTTTTTTTTTTTTTTTCTTTTTTCATTCTTTATAATAATATATAATTCTGCTTTTTAAAAACAAAAATATGACATAAACGCAGACCGTTTTTCAGCTTTTGTCCCGACGATATTTTCACTTTTAACTCCAAATTATAAACTAATAAATTTCTTGAATACTCTTTTTCTACCCTTTTCACATCCGCTTTTCTTGGTGCTTTGTTTTTTTGGAGGGGTTCATATAACTTTTCTCCTATGAGCAATGGAAAAAGATTAGTAAATTCAAATGAATATTCATTGCTAATTTATATATTTATTTTTTGATAAAACAATATATCTATTTTAGATAGATGATAAGGTTTCCATTATATGTGTTGTGTGACAGAGAACGGTGCTTGTGATTGATTTGAAGTATGCAATAAACTAGATTTTAATGGATGCTGGGATGAATTATTAATTCATAGTTAATTTAAAAAAAAAAAAAAGAGTCATAGTATTATTTGGCTTAAATATCTACATTCGATACTCCAAAATCCAAAAAAGTTTACACCAATAATTATGTATGCCTATACAAAGGATTATATAGCCTTGATTTAGCTAAAGGGGCCTTGAAAACATATTTTGTAGGCTAATCATACTGCATGTAGTAAAATTTTAGTAGTATTATTTTGTCAATAACATTCAGTATATATGACTTTTAATTTGGACGATAGATTACATGTTCGTATATTATCATCTCTATTGGTTTTATCTTTGCACAAAATTGCAGAGCAGTTCATTAGAATAAACAAAACATTTACTCTGCTTTCACTCAGGTCATGTACATGTTGCGATCAATGTCGTACTCCATCAGAACCAACCCAACACCATCGAGACTCATACATTTAACTTCGCAATGTTATGTCACTCTTTAAAGCTTCCAATTCTTTCTGACATACCTATATCCACTTTGTCCATTTTATTTAATTTGATTTATTGAAGGTGTGGTTACTAAATAACGTGAAACATTGTTGTAAATGTATGCGTTAAACCAAGAGAAAATGCAAACACAGCAAAAAGGGAAAGAAAAAACTTAATGGTGCAAAGAGAGCTCAGAGATTTTTATATGGAAATAGAAGATCCTGCTTTTTAATTTATTGTCACCACAGTTTCACTCTGTATTTTTTTTTATTTTTTTCCTTGCTTGCTTTCGTTTTAGATATTCTAGAGTCTACTACCAAACAAAACTTCATAATGCAATCTTGGGTATATTCGCATGAATTAACATAAATAAACTTGCGAAAATCACATAAAAACATTCACATGTTTCACATCAAATTTTCAAAATATTACTAATGTGATCTCATGAAATCATTTTGGGTTTGTTTGTTGACAAAAACAAATCATTTGATGTTGATGATTTAATTAAGCATGCGACCTCACATGTCGCTCATGAATTCGAATTGCATCAAACTGAGTTCAAGAACATAATTAAGAGTACGTACAGAAAAAGAATTAAACGACACAAGGAATCAAATCACTGTATTTACATTCATGTCAAGCTCTCTCTCGAACTCAACAACCATCTCCATGCTAAGCCACATAACCTAAACCGGCCCTCATGAATTATCTTTCGTCTAAACCAATCGACGTTTATATATGGAACAAGATACAAGTAAAACCATTAGACAGAATATTGTGGCTACAAACGTTAAAGATGTATGGTTGTGATATATTTTTTTAATTTAATATTCATATAACTAGCCCAAAACAAACTAAACAAAGCCAGCCATTGATATAGATCTTCCAAGAAATGTCTTATAAACAAATCAAAAGCTTAAATCCATAAGAGTCTTGTGATTTGATATATTAATGTCTTTGTGTATTAAACATGTTTATACTAGTGGTCGGTATATCATTAGTTGTCAAATGTTTGGTTTTGTTTAACGTTTGCCAAGTGTTCTAATAATGCTCTTAATTAGCATACTAATCATAATCGGTAAAAAGAATGGTCCCGGAGAGAGAGAGAAGAAACGGTGTTGTAAATTTGTAATGTAACGGTGGGACGGGAAAAAATAGAGTAGGGAAGGGGAAGAGAGGCATGTGTTACTTGATTAGCTGTCCTCTTCTCTGCATTTACTCTTTGTGGGCCTGTAAGGCCCATTTCTCCTCCCTCTATCTTGTTTCCACTTTTTTT